GATCGTGAGATTCGAGGTTTTCACGAGGGTGAAAATTTAAGCTGTCTTTCTTTGGATTGTGACACAGTATAGTATAAGAGAGGTCCTGGATTCAAATCTCGGCCCGTACACAGGCAGGTTCATTATTCAATAATCCTCCTCACATTAGACGTATCACCTCCATCTTCCGGCAGGCAGTTTCCGCACATTCGTTTTCTTTAAAATCTGTTTTACTATTGCCCTCCTTTCATCCACGGAACAGTCGCCCAAGTGACTTTCTCACATCGACTCTTTCAACCAGGCATTTCAGACTGTAGTAAGAATAAAGTAATGTAGGTTTCTTTATAGTAGCCTAATTATAGTTCCTCATTTGTAATTGGGTCAATGGTGCTTGCCCTCGGCCAACTCTTAAAAGCATCGACGTAAAAAAACCACAACCTTTCAGCTGATTGGTGTCGCCATTATCTTTAATCACTAATATAAAACATTACACTTTTAATGGCGGTGACACACGGAAAATGATACTTATCACCGAGACATTGCATCAATTAGACGACAATTACGAAAAGAAAGCAAAAAGTTATCAGTGCAGAAAACCACTCTACGACTAAAAAACGGGATTAGCTGGTCCTTCGTCCGAGGTGGGTGGGTATTGCTTCATGTTCGTGACACCGCCCGACTCTCGCCTTTACCTTGATCTTTACAGGTCACAGGCCGATCAAGCTTATTAAAGGACATACTGTAACTGCGCAGTTCCTTCTACGTGTCTGGCGAAAGACGGAAAAATATTCTGAGTCGCACACCAGGAAGGAACCAGTCGTGGCTACTGCAGAGTACTGTGATGCCAGCGGGTTCCGGAGAGACTGAAGAAAACCGTGGAATTTCTGAGTCCGATAATCGGTCTCCGAGCCCGAGTGTTCAGGAAAACGAAGAAGTCCCTCCGGAAAAATGCTTCTACAGCACCTTAAAAATGAGGCCACCACAGCATCCTTCCACGGCCTTACCATTTCATCATTGATTGACCATCCTATCATTCGACGCGATATTCTGAGCTACTGGCAGCGTTGTTAAATAAACTAGAGACGATGGATCGATCTCTTGTCGATAATCGAACCCACCAGCAGAAGTGTTACCCCAGTTTCGTCCTCGTATCTAATCGAAATGCCGCCAGCAGTGTTTGCCTCCGTACAGGGGATGGCACGTTGTAATTGGCAATATTGTGTCTGGCAAGGAGCATGGAGCATGTCTGACCCACATCCTGTCCCAGGTCGATCCCCGACCGAGGACAAGCTCCATTGACTGACCCAATTCGAAACGGGGAACGCCTACCGGGGGGAGCAGCTTCACGGTTCCAAGGAACCCCGGGACGTAACTTCCACTGCGCGAATCTGACCCATCCCAGCTGTCTTTAAGTGAAAAGTCACACTGGCATGAGTCAGGGGAAGGTACCGTACACGCAGTATTATTGCTGCATTGTTTCTAAAATGTGATCCGAGACTTTCGGTTCCCGATTTACAAAATACTGGGACAGCACCATGAAACAAGCAACCGAACGTCAAGGAGGCTAGAAATTCTGAACGAGGTTTACTTGGGGTCTCCTCATTCCTTCCAGGCAAATACTGGAACAGTTCCTGGAAGCTACTACGCCCCCTTCCTTCCAAATCCTCCAATTCGACACGCTGTTCAACTAAAACGATAAAAAAGGCCACGGCTAATTCCTCCTACCTTGAAGATTTCCGTCTTCTGGGTTGTTGCGCTGTGCGCGATGAATCGCCCTGATGACGGAGGCAGTATGACCTCTGAAACGTTGGTTAACATCGACCAGACTACACAGCGCAACAACCCAGAAGACAGAAACCTTCATACTCATCGCCCTTATGACGGAGGCAGTATGACCTCTGAAACGTTGGTTAACATCGACCAGACTACACAGCGCAACAACCCAGAAGACAGAAATCTTCATACTCATCGCCCTGATGATGGAGGCAGTATGACCTCTGAAACGTTTGTAAACATCTACCAGACTACACAGCGCAACAACCCAGAAGACGGAAATCTTCATACTCACCGCTGTGAGAACCTCAAGTCCTCCTACCTTCTTTTAAATTCCAATTATGTGTCAAGCAATAGATTCGTTGCCTTCATTGGGCAGCGTCTTAAGCAGACAAAGTGTGCAGAAAAGGTTTATACAAGTCACTGTCGGCTGTTATTTACATTCAAGTCGGCTAATTTTAAAACCATGACGTGCGGGACCCAGAAGGCGGACGTATTTGTTTATTGGTTGAACCTGAACCTGTCTGGTTGCTACACAAACAAACATAATAACCAGGCAGGAAGACTCCTGTTCTTCGTCAACAGCGAGAAGATTTTGTCGGAAATCTACGATATAACTCTGGGCGCAAACGATGTTCTTGAGCAAAACTATCAGAAAGTCTGTTACTTGCCAATTATTCTTGGGAGAAAATAAATCAAGCGAAAAGCAAGTGTGAATGCTAGCATTTTCCCCCTATAAAGCGAGTTCTGTGGCCACAGAGAACCTCATTCAGGAAGAAGTCGTGGTCTCCAGGACTTCGCCTGAGAGGGCATACGATAACAGCGATACCCGGTTTCCGCTACCGGGATCGACTCGGAACCACCTGAACAAAAGAAGGTCGCACTCCTCCTGAGCTAACCCGCTCCGTTAGTTTGTGATGTGAGTTCCTAACAGCTTACAGAAGAATTTCGATAACTGTCTAGGCAAATACCTTATCAGACTTCACAGCCGAGTGTTTATTTTTTAACATTCTAGTATACACTGAAAGAGTGAAAATGTTTTTTTAACTTCCACTACATTTTTGCTGAAAAACATATCTCTAGGGCCCTTGAACTCGGAAATGTTATTTATCGCCAGTTTATGCAGGATGTAGGGGGGGGCATCGCTCTAGCCAGAAAACAGAGGTGGGGTGCTGGGTATGTGCTCAAAACGCATCACAGAGAAAAATGATTTAAAGGAAAAGAAAATATATTATTTTAGCGATAACAGACCAGAAGAAAAATGTGAGGAACCCCTGGACCCAGAGTTTTGGTAAATCACATCTCATGTACAACGTGGCATAGGCACAGTTTAGAAGACGGAACCCTCCAGTTTGGAGGCTGCTTTTGCCAAAAGAACGTTCCGAACACTCCGGCGATAGCTACCCATGTCGGGGAACTAACCCCGAACATACAGTCCAAAGTCAGCTATTCTGTTATCTGACCTTCCATAGCTTCGTTATTTATTACACACATTTTTATTAATTTTTTCCATAATTTTACGGACATAATTTCTTTTTTTCATAATTTTACGGACATAATTTCATCATAGTGCTGCAAGTTCTATAAAACGTCCACCATGCCATACTCTGTACACGGCTGATGCTGAGAAACTCAGATCACAAGTAACGTTAGTCAAGAAAGGAGTTCTGGACTTCCATCTTTCATACTTTCCATCCTTAATACGCAACCACGTCTGGGAGTCTTCACAGCAGCTGATACAGATAACTGCAGTACACTTCAAAATCTCGCTGTTGTTTCTTGCATGCGCTTGAATAACTTGCAACGTCACGTCCAGTTGAAAAGATGTCTTGGGTCCAACCGCATGTAATATTACACGTCATTATATTCACCCCTTTACTGAACGCGATTACAGTTAACCTGGAAGATTTGCTAGTACCCAGATGAAGGTCTTTTTTATTTATCTCATCAGCCTGTCACGTGTTAAGCATAGTGGACTCTTACAGTATTTATTTTTCTCTTTTACAAAACATAAACCAATAAAATGACGTTCGTTATGTTTATTTCGCCGCAACTAACAGTTTTGTTCTAGTAACAGACTTTAAACCTCATTTTATTATTGTGTTATGTCGAAAGAAGTGCTGCCATGATGGACTCTAAAGACACCAGAAACAAATTCTGTGATGATGATTATGATGATGACGATATTAATAACAACTAAATAATCCTAAGAAATTCTCCCCCTAATTCAGTTTCATGTTGCAGGTTTGACGAAGGTCATGATGGCTACCTGGATCTAGGGGAGCTGAAGAGGATGATGGAGAAGTTGGGAGCCCCCCAGACTCACCTGGGGCTTAAAGCAATGATTAAAGAAGTGGATGAAGATGGAGACAACAAGATCAGCTTCCGGGAAGTACGTCAACATCTTCCTCCTCACATAATTTCCAAATCAGTGGGCTCATTTATACGAGCCTAAATAGCTCAGTGATTGACGGCTGACGATTGAGCTGAACTATGGCGATTTGATTGCATTTTGCCATAAGGTTCAGGCCCCTGGAACACACCCAACCTCTTTTTCAATACCAGAGGCTCTCTGCCCCTGGAAATGGCCAAAGTGGAGATGAAGTTCATCAGTTACCTTCATCTGTCACTAAGGAATACCACACCTCCGCATGGTGCTTAGGTATAAGGATAGCTTCATCGCTCACTTAATCTTTTATTCAGATTATAACATGCAGCTCCTTTCCTCACTAACTGCAATCAATCTCCACTTCTTTCCCATTATTGCTATCGTATGTCATAAATGAACACCAAGTAAAATAAGGGCTCAAAATTACAAAAAAAAACTGATTTGATCACCCTAATAATGTTTGGTGCAGAGCATAAACTATGAAGCTCCTCATTTTGCAATCTTCTCTATTAATATAAGAAATACAGAAGAATAATAATAATAAATATCTGCGAGTATAATGACAACAATCCACTGAAATCATGAGAAGATGCGTTTCAAAATTGTCTGTATATTAAAAACATCTGAAACATTGTGGAAACCAATTCATAACACTGCATCTGTTCATTCAGCTTCTGTAAATATGAGATAAGCAAACTCACATATATGCATATTTATTCTTTATTAGGATTCGCATAAGGGAATAAAAAAGTTGTATATA